ATTTAGCTGTTCGATGTATCAAAATCAATCTTATATCTTTTCATATCATATATAACATAGGATTCGACGTGACACCATAGTTTGTGCTAAGTTGAATATTAAAAGTTACATTGATTTTAAAGATAGATGCCGTTGGTTGTGTTTATGGAAAAACTTTCATTTAAACGCATTCAGTAGTAGATCCACTTACTTGTTTCCACAGTAGAAGGAGGTGGACGGCCTTTACTCGCGCCTAGGGGTTCTGTGAAAAAGTAATTTGTTAATATCATCCGCAAAAATTGTAGATCTCTTGGTATATAACGAGTGCAAGACTGAACAGTCTCGCCTTAAAGTCCTGTCTTATATTACAAGGTACATGTACCGTCGAATATGTAGGATATCCCAATTCAGTCAAGAGATTTTTCTCAAGCTCAGGTTAGATAAATACAAAAATAATTCTCATATTATGATTGGGAAATAGCTGTCTTGATATAGGACCGACAGCTAAGTGTGATTATTAGCAACAATATGCATTTTTTTTTAGTCAATCGCCCAATCACGGTTCTCGTTTTTAGTTTCACACGTTCGTGGCATTTCTTCCATAACTGCCGTTGAAAGGTAAAACTTGATGATTTTTCAGTGGAGATGCGGAAACACCATTTCCTTAATGAGGAGTTTATACGTCAAAGTTATCATGTGCCCCACCGTTCGCCCATTTGAGAGAAGTTGTAGTTGAAGTTTATGGCCAAAGTAGCTCTCTACTATCAATAATGGCGCTGAAACTTACGCGGTGCCTGAATTGTTCCTCCAGCAGCTATAGGATAAAAACAATTTTTTTTTTGAAAGACAAGTGTTAAAGTTCATCATGTCTTTGAAATACGAAGAAAAATGACGATGAATTTTCGCATGTAAATTGTGATTTGAACAGCTGAATTATCAAAACGTAGTGTAGATTGAACAGATTAACACTTTAGATTGTCCTATGAGAGAAAACGTATCTTTGGTAAAATCAAGGTGGAGAAAAGTTTGCTTTGTAGGTGGTTCAGTTTAAGTTATCAGCTAAAAAACTTGGGTGTAAGCTTAATGGCTAAAAATGAGTGTAGACGTATGAGAAAACTTGCAGACCAGCACTTCAGGCAGATCACAAATAATACAGGAAGGAAACAGTATTTCAATGGATAGTGAGAGAGAATAGGATCAACAGCTTACGTCAGCTACTTATAACGAATTATGACCAAAGTACAAGAACTGAGAAACAGAACACCTACCCTTACACCCAGTGTCTACTATGGAATCTACCAGGGAACCCAGTGAGTCAAATTCTGCTTTAAACATGTGCTGTGAATCTGGGTCAGTAGCTATCTCTCGAAGCTGTTCAAGATCATAGTCTGTACCCATTCCTATGCTAATGACAGTGACACCTGAATCTCGGAGTTTTTGAGCCGGAGTTCCAATGTTATCTTTTGACTTCCCGTCGGTTAACACACAAGCGATGTTGGGGACACCGGACCGAGCGCTGACTGCGAATAGAGCTTCATTAGCTTTCAAGAGAGCTTTTCCAGTGTTTGTTCCTTCATTTGGATACTTGATTCCATCAACTTCTGCCATCACTTCTGCTAGGGTGTAATGCTGGTCGAATCCCGATACAACCTGCAAAGGTTATGAATAAAAAGCCATGTCTTTCATTTGCAAATTATGTAAATTGACCACAGTAAAAAGTTTATAGGGCTAATTTTTCGAGCGTCAGCCCTTCGTCAGAGCAAATGTTTCATTCTCCTCTCGAGACTTTGCGGGCCTATAGCAGTAAATCCATTGGACTCTTCCCCGGTAATTGTGTTATGTTTTTATGTAAGACTTTCCACTCCCACAGTGCTTTGCTCCACCCACAGGCGTAGATGAGTATCGATAATAGCCTGGTAAACCAGATGGGATATTTGGGGGGTAATACGATCTTATAAGCCAGAGGCTGACTGGCATGTGTACTGAGGTGAGTGGCGGCAATGGGATATTGAGCTACAGCGTCAATTATCTCGTTTCATCATATTCAAAGCTAAGTCCTTAAGATATCGTAACCAGGCAGCAAGAGCACAACCCTAACACAAATCTTTTAACTGACGAGCTAAATGAAGACTTCCAACATGAGATCCCACCTTTGGTTCAGTACTGTATACAATGAGACCAATATGTGTTCCGTCTTTGGAGACATCAAAACTTCTAATGATATCTTTGACAAAGTTCAAGACTTTTTTAAACGTTCCTGGTCCATTTTTTTCTATACTTCCTGATCCATCGATAATAAATCCGAGGTCGGCCTTGGCTTTACATTCTACGACGAGAGAAGAGGAATGGAATCATGGCGTTCAACTACGAAATATGTTATTGATGCTAGTGGATACAGATTTCCTTTACCGATCAACAATTTACAATTTTCTTTTCCAAATTTGATAAATTTTTTAAAATTAGCTAAATGTGCATTGTCAATTGATTCAGAGTGCTATTGTTTGATGTCTGATTTTTTTGGTCCATACAGTTGCTTCTTGGTTGCTCCAGACCTTAGTATTAACCAATCCTTTTCATTTCAGTTTACAAATTATTTAGGGTAACTCCTTTATATTTTAAGGAAAAGCTGAGAAAACGAATCCATTTTACTTACCTGGAGCACTAAGACGAAGATTGCTACCAATTCGTCCGGATATGGTACCATTGGAGGGTTTTACACCGTTGGGTCCACTGGGTCCAACCCCGCCAGGTCCACTGGATCCAACTCCACCAGGTCCACTGGGTCCAACCCCACCAGGGATAACACCGCCACACCCTCCAGTGGCATTCCCGGAAGGCTGACATGGGTTTCCACAGGCGGTCGCATTGGTGATGTTAGGACATCCTTCTGTAAGCTTCCCCTCAATCACACACCCAGCTCCCATGTCAATACAGCCTCCAGGAGCCACTCCTTGTGCTGGTGCAGGGCAGGGTGCTCCCGCAATCTGCATACACCCGCTGTCAATGGTTATGCCCTGACTTCCGCACAGTGCTCCTCCCATAGTACCTCCTCCTCCACAAACCGAGTTTCCCATGGGCATACCTTGAGGTGGACAGGGAGTTCCTCCTCCTCCTCCCATGCTGGCACACCCGGCTGGTACTGTCTGGTTCACTTTTCCTTGGACTCCAGTCCCTTAAGATAAAATAACATTACTTACTTGCTTGTCATTATTGATAGGAAATATAAGTAAGTCTCGCTGCGATGGATCTTGCGGGTAAGGGTTTCCAA